GGTTGAAATGGAAAACATGATATATAAGAATGAAGAAAAGATAGGTGAATACTGATATCAACTTTGGATAAGGAAAGCCTTGCTAAGCATAATAATAAATAGAGAAAAACTGATACAAAAAGTGTAACATATATTCTTAAGAATAAAGCATTATCAGAATTGAAAGGACATTGATACAGTGAGGAAATCTATGCAATAGGTATGATAGGTCAAAGGTTAACAGCATTAGAAGATGAAGGGACTTTACAAATCAATTGCAAAATGATGAATATACAATTCAAAAATGGGCAAAGGATAAGAATAGTCAATTTACAAAGCAAAAAAGAAGAAATGATCAATACTTATTTAAAAATCCTGGCTTTACTAGTTATGAAAGAAACTGATATTTTAAAATGTGATTATATTTCACTTATCAGTGTCAATGATTTAAAAAGAATAATAACATCTAGAGTTGACTTGAATGGGAGGAAATGGGACCTCACCTGTTTTACTGATGGTACTATAAATATTTTTGGTAGTCTAAATATTTCTGATGTGCAGTTCGTCAATCAAGTATCAAAAATGTTTGATCCAGTAATTCTACTCTAGGAATATATCCTAGAAGAACAATTAGATATTGGCAAAGGTGTGTGAAAACAACGCACTTACACAACAGTAGTCAACTGATATCAGACACCCTTGTAGTGGAGTTGGGAAGATATTTAGAAGAAAACATTGACATGAGCACATTGATGCTGAAAAATGTATATCACATATTATTAATTGGGAATAAAGTGGACATGTATTTTATGATTGCCTTTTCTTGATCTTTTTTTTTTTTTTGTGAGGAAGACCGGCTCTGAGCTAACATCTACTGCCAATCCTCCTCCTTTTTTTTTTTTCTTTTCCCCGAAGCCCCAGTAGATAGTTGTATGTCATAGTTGCACATCCTCCTAGTTGCTGTATGTGGGATGCGGCCTCAGCATGGCCAGAGAAGCGGTGCGTCGGTGCGTGCCCAGGATCCGAACCTGGGCCGCCAGTAGCAGAGCGCACGCACTTAACCGCTAAGCCACGGGGCCGGCCCTATGATTGCCTTTTCTAAAGATCAAAATAGAGTCAAGAAAAAGTCTGGAAGTATAGGTATAAAAAATAGTAGTAATTATTTCTGGATAGTACATTATCAAGTTATTATCTTTAATTTTATTTCTGCTTGTTTGTATTTTCTAATTTTCCTACAAGGAATAGATATTAATTATGCAGTAGAAGAAAATTATAAAATCCTTTGCAAATATATTTTACTAAAATTATTATGGCTGTGATTAAAATTGAAACTGAAGCACAGTTTGTCCTTCTCTGTTCACATTTTTCCTGGAATCCTAGATTGATGAATTGAACTGAATTTCAGATTTTTCCTCTTCTGAAGATTGCTATTATTTGCTATGAGACAAACAAATATTTTTTAAACAGAATTAACTAAAAAAGATATGAGCTTTACATTCATAATATAGTGTTGTATACACCAGACAGAACCCTCCAAGTACTCAAACTTCTTAGTTTAATTTCACTTATTGGCAGCACGACCTTGGACAAGCCTCTAAAGCTTCTGATAGTCTCAAATTCCTTCCTAATCTAGAAGATGGGGATAAAAATATCCAACATGCCCACCTCATGGAGCTATTTGAAGAATTAAGTGAAACAATGGCCATGAGAAGGTTTTATAAACCAATGAAGAGCTAGATAGATGAGAGGGGCTATTCTCAGTATTTTTTTTTCTTTGCACTTTTCTTATCCATTACACACTTTTTTGTGTTTTTAGAGATGCCATACATCTGATATTTTCAAAGTAAATGCATCTCAAAACCTGGGCGGATCAGCTTTTCATCTGCCCCAACAGCACCATTCTCGATACTAATAGCCCAAGATGGACTTAAATGTTGAAGAGTCATCCAGTATTCTGCTTTCCTGCTGCCTGCTGAGTTGTCTTTGAAGCTTGGGCTGTAGACGGAGTAATAAAAAATGAAATAACAGGCTTATGTGTACTAAAATGGCTTCCGTTATATTTCTAACTCTGCCAAATGCTTATGCTGAGTTTAGGCAAACCCAATCCTGATTATTTACAGGGCGTAATGGAAGTAAACACTCAAAGAGAAAGAAACCTGATGCTTTTACTCAGCATGATATAAACTATTATCTCATGTTTTCTATGGAAAACAGTCTCAGCCGAGAAATTTGGTAACTCAGTAGGCTATTAATAGGATGTAGAATGCGATTACTCCTTTTGGATTACTTCAATATGTAATTACTTTTAGGAGCTACTAGAAAGAAACTATTAAATGATAATTATAAGACTGTATTTGCTTTAAGGTTTTGTAATAGCTCTAAACATGGGAGTTTTCATTAGCTGTTTGCCATAGTTAATAAAGTCATTTTTCTTAAAATGTAGCAATTCCCTGCAAAAGTGGTAGCTCCATGTTATCGGAAAGGGCAGGGGAGACAGATCGTGTAGTAGGTTGGCTCGTCTACGGTAATATAATCTCTTTGAAAATATAGATGGCATCTCCAAAGTATTGCAACAAATTGAAATACTTATAACTCCCTAGAGAACAATATGTCTTGGTATAACGTTTTCAGAGAGTTAACAGCAACTCAATATTATTGTACACATAAAAAGAAAGAAGGCAAGGCAAGTGATGGAGGTGAAGTTGGCACAATGAGAAAAGCCTAGAAACACCTGCTGTGTCAGCAGGCATCCAGCGATAACCAGGGACGTTGCTGGGAATGCATCCAGGAGTTAGACCTCAAATGTAAGTTAGGGATTACATGAACACACAGATAAAAGTCTGATCACAAATACTTGAGGAAACAGATAACAAAAGAAGTGGTGACATAAGAGGTATGTGAGAACACTAGAGTTTTCTGGACAACAGAGTCAATCACTTTACTATTGATAAAACTAAACGTACGTGGACACTTTTTGTTATTAGTATCTTCTTCTTCATAAAACTGACATAAGCCTAGGCTAATGGAGAAATCTATCAACCCAGGGCAGATCAGAAATAATTTGAGAATTAAGAAAATTCCAAGAGTGGAGGGAGGGATTCTCATGTAAATAAGATAAAATGAAATAAAAGGCTTGTATGTACTAAGAGGGCTTCCGTTATATTTCTAACTATGCCAAATGCTTATGCCGAGTTTAGGCATTCCACCAAATAAAGAGGCACACATATCTTAGAAAGTATCATGAAAACACTGTTTATATACCTGGTTCAATTCAGCTCAGCAAACATTTATTAAATGCCCACTACATGCCAGAGTCTCTCTGCTTTGGAGAAATCTACAAAAGGAAATTCCTATATTATATACCTGCCCCACTGGAGGTACCTGTGCTCCTAGTTCTCAGTGCTCTGCAGAATTATCTTTTTAAGGGGTTTAAGGTACTCACAGGTGCACATCAACCAAAGTCAACAGGTAAAAGAAAAATCCTAGATTAAATATAAAATTAAAGAGTTCCACATAATGTTTTCATTTTGAAATGATGGGAATCATATATAAAGTGAATCATAGGTGGTTTTGTCGAGTTCCTTTAGAACACGTGTCTCCACTTAACTTCCTTCACACCTAGGCTCTCAAGAGCACTGCAGAAAACAAGGCATCAGGAGAGAAAGTCTCCGTCATAGCACCTAGGACATTGTACCCCACGGACTCATTTGATATGTGCTTGATTTACAAGGCCATAATCAAACGCTCAAATCTGTTCAAGAAATAGTAACAAAGTATATCAGACCATATCCCTCCAAATTCAAGCAGCATGGGGAACACTTCTCTGCTTTAATGATTAACCCAGTAGGGTACAGTGGTTAAGGCTGTAACCTCTAGACTCTGAATGCCTGGGTTTAAAATCTAGATCTAGCTCCTATGTGGCTGATTGACTTTGAAAAATTTACTGGACAATTCTGTGCCTCATTTTCCTCACCTTCAAAATGGGAATAATAACCCTTACCTATGGTATATTGAGAGAATTAAATGGATCAAGTAGGAGAAGGACCTTGGCATGGTGTTTGGAACATATATCTACTGGTATTTATGATAGTGGTAACAGTGATGGGGAAAGTAATGATAATTATTAGATTAATTTAAGACCCTATAAGCCTGATCTCAGTTACTGGGAAATTGAATTATTAGTCCATAGCTAGCATGTGGCTAATGAAAACATATATCCTCAGGAGGACCACTTTTCATTCCTATGTCAGATGACGGCATTTGTCTTCCTATTTTTATAGACCTGCACTGTCACAGGTTTATAGGAACAGATGCAGACCAAAATAGTCTGGACAGGAGTTAAGAAACTTACTTTCTGATCCTCGTTCTACTGCCAACTTTGTCATGGGACTTCATCGGTTTGGGCCTATACAAAATAACTACTTCAAATAGTTTGCAAGTCTAGAACCTCCTTGATTGATGCAATGAGAAGCTGAAATCAGAGGACATTTTGCCGTGGTTACAGTGGCCAAAGAATGCTTTGTTCCTGCCCTTCAGGCCATAATTCTGCACCCACTTTTCGGTATTAAGCTCTGTGCCCAACCACATTGCATTAAAACCGTGCTTGGAAGGGAAGGCCTGCTGAAAGATTACATTGCCTTACAAAGTTGAACTAATCTCTTTTAACGCTTTACTTGATATCAATATTCATAAAGCCATGCTTCCCCTCAAGGGTTTATCAACCTCTTAAAAAAAGATAAATGAAGTTGTTTGCATATTGACCCTGAAAGCTTCCCCACTTGGTTTTCCCACTGCTTCATGAATATCAAAGCCAAGAAAAAAGGTAAAATAAAATTAGACTCACTTATTCATATGCACCAAATGAGCCCATGTCTCAAAATAAAGGTGGCATTATTATTTCTTGTTTGTTCTTCAACAGAAAGGCATTATTAAGATTATGGAAAATACTTGTGCTCTGCAATATAAATGCCATTAGGTTTCCATTTCTACTTCTCTGAATGCATAGGAACCTTGGTACGAACCTCTGTTGTCTCTGACTGTGAAATTTGGATTGTGAATGATTTCAGGGGGTAGACTGAAGATAAATCTTGGTCCATTGGCTGTGTCATCCTTGTCATCTGCACTAATTGTAACAATTGGCTGAAAGAGAAAGGTGGCCCATAAATAATCATGCTGACATTGGCACATCATTTATTCAGAAATCCCTGGCTGGCTAAAAAGCCCCGTTTTAATTAGAGAACAGAGCTCCAGAGCTAAACTAGGGCTGTGAAGCCTTCTTGGGCAACAGGAGGTATCTCCAGGTGATGCTCTCCAAACCAAACTCTGTTTCCAAATTCCTTGCTCATAGCCAGGGAGGGGGAAGCAGCATTACCTGGTTAGAAAGTGGCTTGGTCTGGTCACTCTCACAGATGAAGCCTTCATAAGGGGCAGCAAACTTGGGAGCATTATCATTGACATCGAGGACCCTAATGGCCACTGGGACTTTGGCTTCCTGATGCCCTTTGTCTGGAAGGAGAGAATTGAAACAGTCAATGCAAGGGAGGAATCCACACTGATCCAAGGTTACTCTTAGGAAAGAGTAAGCTCCAGCCACTCATTTGGGCAGTGCAGGGAAAGGCAGTGTTGGCACAAAAGCCATCTAAATCCTGACATATGCTAGGTCCAGTGTGAGGGGGATGTCCTGGAATACATGTCAATATTAGACTAGTGAAATAAACCACTCCATTTCCGATGACTCTGATGCTGAGGTTTAATTCTAAATGCTCATAATGGAGCCTAGCCCTCCAGAGCACAGTCCATTGCAGTAGTTCTCAAAGTGGGGTCCCCAGAGCATCAGAATCTTCTAGGAACTTGGTGGAAATGAAACTTCTCAGGCCTGACTTAGACCTACTGAATCAGAGGCTCTGAGGGTAGGATCCAGAAATCTTTGCTATATCAATCCTTCCATGATATTCTGATGCAATCAAGTTTGAGAACCATTTGTCTATAGGTAAACAAGAACCCACAAATCTTGCCTCTAAGGATTCTGCTGCTCTGGGTTTAAACAAAACTGAGTGACAGGATAAAGTGGGGAATCCTTCAGTAATGGTTATGAGTTTCAAGCTGCTGAGGGCTATCAGTTCACTTGCCAAGTTTGTATCCAGTTCTGCCAGAGAAAATGAAAATATCTCTATTTGCTTATATGTATTCCTAGACAGATCACCAAAATAAAATTTTAAAGATTGAAAACTATGTTGAAGACTAAAAAATTCATTCTATCTCAGCTGTCTGTTATTTTCCAGAATATACAGTCTTAAGGATAATATTTGGTAAAGTAGAATCAAAACCCTTAGGAGAATACTTACGGATTTCTGCTGCAAAAACAGATATGTTGATCCAGGCAGTTTCCTCTCTATCCATAGGTTTCATAGTTTTAATAAAACCATCCTCTGGATTAATAGTGAAAAACCTGTCGAGGTCAGTATGACGATCGATTGTATACCTAAGCAGAATGCAAATGAGGCAATTAGACCAAGACATATTGAGCAGCTTAATATTTGAATATTTTCTCCATGCTATATTTAAAGCAACTTTTTCAATGAATTGCTTGAGATAGGTTTTCTTTTTAATCAAATTTACTCTTCAAACTTCGTACATGAATCTTGTATAGAAATCATTTTGCCACATTGGAATTCTTTATTCAGTACAATGAATGAAAGAGCTGTTTAGCATATTTGATCGAGAAGCATAATAACATGTTGCATATTCTCCATATTTACTACGATCACCCACCATCTGAATATTTATGAAACTGCATTTGGGAAATGGGTTTGCCTTGCTCCCAAACTACTCAGCAAGTCACGAATGCATCAAATCTTTGCCAGATTTTTGCATATGAGATATTAAATAGTTTCAAGTTTATCTAAATTTATCATCAAGGAGCATTTATGGTTCTAAAAAATCAGTTTTCTCCTATTTAAAGAAAATGCTAACTACATTTTGAGTGGATTTATCTAGTTTATTTATTTAGTTTTAGGAGTTCTCAGGTGGTTTGGTTCTGAATTCCAGGGTGAAATATGCAAAGCAAGCTTGGCCCTTCATTGTAGAGCATTCTTCCCACACTTTAATGACTCCAGGCTGTGTCCAACAGCATAGCCAGAAGGTTTTAGCTAATCCTGTCCACTAGAACATTTGCTTGTTCCTAACAAAAGAAAAAATAATTTCCAGAAGATTATTGGAGTGTATTTATGGCAAGGTGAGGTGGGAGACGGGGCAAGAAGAATGGCCTTTACTGAGATATAAGGTGAAATAACTTGCCCTGGAACACCCAGAGAGTTGTAAGTCCTGGAGTCCTGGCTTTAATGAGTCTGTCGAACTCCAAAGCCCCTTCCCTTTTCACTCCACCAGACCTACTCCAAAATGGAGAAGAGCAAAGATGGTTATGTTAACTTGGGTAGCATGCTGGGCTTCATAGCTGGCTGGTTTCCTGCTCTTCAAGGGCTTATCTGTGTTTTCCAAAAGTTTACAGAATATACATGTCCAAAGGCATTCATTGAGGGTCATGAAATCAAAGAATACTAGATGTAGCAAAGACCAGGGGTATAATAGGGTTCAAGCTTTTTGATTTACAAATGATGGGATTTGAAATGGTCTGTATCTAGTTTCTGGGGGAGCCAATATTAGAATCCCAATCTTCTAATTCTAGATCATGTTCTTTCCAGGAAAGAGGAACTGCACATTGAGCAGCACTTCACAGTATACAAAACATGAGCTCATCCGTGATAACATTTGACTTCACAGCTCCCTGTGGGAATGGAATGAGGGGTCCCTTTCCCCAGTGAGGAAACTGAAGATAAGCCATCACCCAACTCATTAATGTAGGTAGAGGCTCAGTAACTGAGCCTCAGCAGGTAGCCCTATGTGAAAAGGAAGCCAAAATAATAGAAGACCTTTTCCCCTGCCACCAGGGAGTTTGCTATCTAGTTGACATGACAAGACACATTCAGGGGAAGAGAGATAATTAATAAATCAAAGCATTGTTCTATAAAAGTGAAGGGCAAGGATTTTGGTTTTGTAAAGTACAAGATACAAGTTCATGCTCCACTACACATAAGCTGAGTGATACTGGAAAAGCCGTTTAAGTTCTTTAAATCTCAGCTTATTTATCTTTAAAACTGGAATATTAATTGTACCTAACTTTTAGGTTATCTGGGAGAATGACACGAAATAATGGATGTTTAAGATACATAACCTAGTGCCTCACTCATGGTTACACTGTACAACAAATAACAGCTGCTATTATTTCTGTTGTTGCTGCTGCTGTTACACACTGTGGAGAGATCATGGAAGCTCTCAAATGTCAATCTACATAGTGTGACCTTCATCCTACAGCCAGTGAAAAGTCATGGAAGGCCTTTGATGAGAGGAAGAAATAAATGGAATTGGGCTATCAGGGTGATTATTATTATTATTTTTTTTGTGAGGAAGATCAGCCCCGTGCTAACATCTGCCAATCCTCCTCTTTTAGCTGAGGAAGACTGGCCCTGGGCTAACATCCGTGCCCATCTTCCTCCACTTTATATGGGACGCCACCACAGCATGGCTTGCCAAGCGGCGCGTCAGTGAGCGCCCGGGATCCGAACCGGCGAACTCCGGACCACTGCAGCAGAGCGCACGCACTTAACTGCTTGCGCCACCAGGCCTGCCCCTATCAGGGTGATTATTAAGGTAGGGAGGGCAAGGTGGTCTGAGGAGAGAAGAGGGGAAGGGACAGTGGAACTTAAGGATCTGATGTAGTTTGGAAAGAATAAAGTGATAAAGGAGTTAGGTATAGGAGGGACAGAAGGAACAGAAGACTGTGATGAAGAAAGCACCAGAGGACTCAGTGGGTATTTGGAGATCTGTGGGAGGCTGGGAGAGTCCTAGAGAGTTTGTAGCCCAGTGTCAGAAAGAGGGAGACACTGGGAGATACAAAAATAAAGTCCACTTAGGAGGAAAGAGAGGCTGAAATTCCACTGGGGACATGCTGCCATGTGAACAGAGAAAAGATTCCACTCTATTGTAGGATTCACAGAGTCAGGGGTAGAGTCAGTCTTTTTTTAAAGCATGTCACAATAAGCATAAACTCAAAAATATGTTTTGAATGAAGGAGTGACCTGGTGAAGGAAAAAGCAAATGGGTGAAAATGCACAGCAGACAGTAGAATAAGTACAGAATTAGAAGCAGGGAGAAAGATCAGCCTTGAGGCACAGAATCTGGAGCATCAACTCTATTCAATCATGGCATGGGTCGGCGGGGAACTCTCTAGGTGAGTGAAGAGAGAGAGAGAAAGGCCAAAGTTAAAAGGCTGAGCCTCAAGGAGCCCCCAGTGCCTGGACAGAGACCAATGACTAGCAAAGACACCAGGTATGGTGTTGTTTGAGGCATGAAGAGGGGACTGCCAAGGAAGCTAAGAGGAAAGAATATTTCAGGAAGGTAATGGCGAACAAAAGTGTGTCTAATGTGATGGAGTCTGAGAAGAAAGATCTGCAAAGTTTCCAAGCACCTAAGAGTTTGGGTGACACTATAAAGCCTTATCCATATGTCCAAGGACAGAGATTTCCTTAAAGGTGAAGATAAGCAATGAGAAGAGTAGGTAGTGTGGATAGAGGCCCAGTGAATAAAAAGGGACCTGAGTGGGTGAGGTGGGTTGGTTCAAGGGTGGTACTGAGCATCTCTGGATAATTAAAGATATGGAAATCGCCTACATGCACAGAACAGCTACCACTGAAAACACGACCCAAATAACACATCGCAGGTGAGGATCCTCGGAGACAATGAGGTACAGAGGAAATGAGCAGCTGTTCTGTGTTACGTCACTACTTTGCTAAAAAGTTGCTAATGCACCTTGATATTCTAGGCCAAAGCTAACTCATTTAAAATTCACACTATGAACATTTTTGAGTAGTTTAAAGGTGTTACACTGATCCTCAGTCATTATGTAAAGTATCTTCCTGCACAGAGAGCACAGTACTCAAATATTCTTGGGAAATCTTTTCAATAGTGGTTGCTTGGCTAGAGTGAAAAGCTCAAAATGGACTCAAGGCAGGTCTGGACTAAAATCCAGTCTTCAGTACTGACTGGCCATGGGACTTGGAGGAATTCATGTCATCGCTTTGAGCCTCAGTATTTGCATCTATTGGATCCTAAAGCAGTCATAGCCTCAAAACGTGTCTGAGGATTAACTTAAATAACTTAGTACAACACGTTGTCTGGGGCCAAGAAGATGCTCAATAAAGGGTAATTCTTTTCCTTTCTCCCTGAAGGAAAAAACTTCAAGGATTTAAAGGCAATGGCACAACATTTACGTTTGGGACTTTCTTCTGGCCTATCAGCATTTTCTTTGGTATAAATAGAAAAAGTCCATTTTCCACAGCAATTTTTTTTCATACTCAGATCTGTTTACTTTTTTCCTCCATCTTTATTGAGGAATGATTGACACATAAAAAATTATCCATATTTAATATGTACAATGTAGTGTTTTGATATAAATATAGCTTATGTAATGATTACCACGATCAAGCTACTTAACACATTCATCATCTCATTAGTTACCATTTTGTGTGTGTGTGTGTGTGTGTGGTGCGCGTGTGTGTGTGGTGAGAATACTTAAGATCTACTTTCATAGTAAATTTCAAGTATACAATACATTATTATTAACTATAGTTACCACGCTGTACATTAGATCTCTAAAACTTATTTATCTTGTAACTGAAAGTTGTTCCCTATGACCAATATCTCCCCATTTTCCCTACCCCCTAACCCCTGGCAACCACTGTTCTACTCTGTTTCTCTAAGTTTGACTTTTTTAGATTCCACATATAAATGATATCATGCTATATTTGTCTTTCTGTGTCTAGCCTATGTCACTTAGCATAATGTTCTCAAATTCATCCATATTACCACATATGGCAGGATTTTCTTCTTTTTTAAGGCCGAACAATATTCCTTTGTCTGCATATACCACATTTTGCTTATCTATTCATCCATCCATGGACACTTAGGTTGTTTCCATGTCTTGACTATTGTGAATAATGCTGCAATGAACATTGGAGTGCAGATATCTCTTTGAGATACAGCCATTATGGAAAATGCTATAGAGGTTCCTCAAAATGCAGGTCGTGGCTGGATTTGTTCTGCAGGCTGTAGCTTATCCACTCCTGAACTAGATAGACACATTCCTTGCTCTTTTTGAGAGTGCCAAGGACAACACACAATGTAAAGTGTCACTGTGATGTAGTATGGTGAGCACTGTGAAGTAGAAGGGGATCTGATCCATCAGTAGAAAGCCTTGGAAGAATTCGTAGAGGAAGTGACACCTAAGTAGAGGTGGGAAAAATGAGTACCACGTAGCAAGTTGGAAAGAAGAGGGAGAGAGCTCCAAGGAGGAAGAACATGTAAGGGTCAGGAATAGGGAGACCGCACGTTCTACTTCAGAGAATGGGAAGTACCCCAGTCTAGATGCAACTGAGAGTCTGATGTGAAGGGAGACTAAGACAAAAGGTGGAAGAGATCAGCAGGGCACGGCAGCAGTTCGGGTGGAGAGACTCGAAGAAGAGTCTTAAGCTAAGTAAGAGAGTTGAGATTATTCTAGGGAGGTGGAGGCAATGGGGAAAAATTTGATCATTGATTTTTTTGTTGTTTACCTGAAGTATGATGTGATATCTAGATGTGCATTTTAAAATGACCAGTCTGGCTACAGTTGCTAGAAAGGGATGAGGGAGACTGGAGGCAGGGAGATAAAATAAAGTCAAGGGGATAAATCAGATCACATGTCTAACACACCCAGTAGAGCAACTGGAGCATAGGAAGGTCTTTAATAAATTATAATTACTATAATTATTTCACAATCATTATTTATACTAAACCTGAGGCAGACAGGCCCAGCTAATGGTTACCTTACCTAGTAGATGCTGGGAAATCTGCTCAAGAGAGAAATTATGTAGCTTGAACAAACCTATCCAGAAAGTTAGTAGCAGAAGTGGAGTAGAATTTACGTCTTCTAAATCTTCATCTTGTTTACATCTCATTGAACTTGATCATTTTGGACCCTCTTTGAAACTGAAGGATGTGGTTCCTACAAGGCTTTCCGAAAACCTCTTGCCTCTAAAATTCCCCATCTAGGCTCTTAAAATGAATGTCTGTACCTTATCGCGCTGTTGGCAGCATCAGGGTCTTTGGCATGCACTCGCCCAACCACAGTGCCAGCGGGTGCATTTTCTTGGACTTCATGGATGTAACTTGGGGCCAAGAACATGGGGGGCTCATCAGCATCTTCTACTGCGATTTTGACCGTCACAGTGTCCTTGAAAGGCCCGTTGCTGATGAACTTGGGGTCGATGTGCACGTTGGCTGCCTCTACCTTCAAGCTGTACGCTCTTTTGGTTTCAAAATCTACAGGCTGGCAAGAAGGAAGAGAAGATTGACAACCAATTCCTTGAAAGAATCATGGAAGAGAAAGACCTGATTGTTTTATAGGGCAGAGTGAATAGTTCCTCAAAGAGAGCAAATCAGCGTCTATTCAATATTCAATTACCTGAGCCATTTGGTCAGAAAATCAGACAAATCAATTGCTGAAACTGGGAACGTGCTTAATGGGTAATTCTAGGAGCACGACAAATACAGAAGGACCACACGATCTAAAATGAACCTGATTCTATATAACAACATTACGGCTGCCCAAATTGGTCACTAAAAGTCATCTAAAGAAAGGAATTAAAACACTACAAAAATAAATGCTGCAGGGCCGGCCCCGTGGCTTGGTGGTTAAGTGTGCGCGCTCTGATGCTGGTGGCCCGGGTTCGGATCCCGGGCGCGCACCGAGGCACCACTTCTCCGTCCATCCTGAGGCCGAGTCCCACATACAGCAACTAGAAGGATGTGCAGCTATGACATACAACTATCTACTGGGGCTTTGGGGGGAAAAAATAAATAAATAAAATCTTTAAAAAAAAAAAAATAAATAAATGCTGCAGCCCATTCTGTAAAGCACTAAGAATCTTGGTAATAAAAATATCCACTGAATTTCAGACAGAGAGCAAAGGGATTTCTTGTTAGATGACCCCTCCACATCTATACACATCTGGCTTCATCATACTGACAGCCTCATTTTTCAAGTTTCTGACCACGTAGCATTTCCCAAAGTCTGGGACTTTTACCAGCAGTAGCCCATATGATGACTTAAGTCATTAAGGCAGAGCATCTGCCTGCCATGCTGTTGTCATCCACCCAGCAAACACTTACTTTGCATGGGCACATAATCATGGGCTTAGTCCTGACCTAATTCTACAGAACTCCAAACTAAGGATGATTCCAGTTTCAGGAAAGTTAAACACATTCAACTTTTTCCATCATCTTCCCACCCCCATCTTGCCGGAGCAATTTTCATGAGTGAGTTTATTGAATGACATTAACTAACTTATTGACACAATTATTCCTCTTCCAATTCTTCCACACATGAACACATCAAGGAGAAAATCTCAGTATGGTGCTAATTTTTAACATATCTGTTATGCTTCCTAATCTCCCTTTTGAGAGACTATGATACAACTTCCTAGCTAGAATGTAATGACATTGTTTTGTTTTGATTGTGTTCATTTTTAGGTTATCTTCTAGTCATGGCAAGTGATACAGGGCAATGTGAATAATGCTTCCTTGTTAAAAGATGCATATAGGTAAAAAAAAAAAAAAGTCCAGTTATAAACAGTATAGATTTTACATAGATATGAAAAAAATTTGAGAAGTAGCATTTGCATGTCTGCAGTTATTGGGAAAACTGATGGTAAACACTCCCTGATTCTGAATGAGAAGAGGTACAGTGAATCTATCAGCAAAGGATGAAAAGTAAAATTGTAGCAGAGAAACAAGCCCTCAAGCCTAGGAAACAGAAATTTCTAATTAGCACTCTGGATGATGCTGAACTACCAAATGTTTGGAAAGAGTTGGGTCTTTTAAGGTGAGCATCTGCCTGCCATACTGTTGTCATCCGCCCAGCAAACACTTATTTTGAATGGGCACATAATCACAGGGCTTAGTCTTGACCTAATTCTACAGAACTCCCAACTAGGGATGATTCCAGTTTCAGGAAGGTTATACACGTCCAACTTTTTCCATCATCTTCCCACCCCCGTCTTGCCAGAGTCAGGGAAAACTCCCTTTTCCTGAAATGAAATCTGCCCCCAGCTGCTCCATCCTTCTGGGACTCAGCAATTCCCTTGTCCTTTGTAGGGTTACTGAGCAGCAGAAAGAAGTGATATTTATAGACTGAAGGTAGGAGACTGCCATAATTTCTCAACAATCTGCAATTATTAGACTAAATAAAAAACTGGAATATGATAGTTCTGAGACCAGGTAAGGAGAGATTTTTAAATCTCAGATAGTCTGTTGATGCTCCTAGAACAGAACATTTTGAACTTCATTGAGGCATATGCCTAGGGACCCAGAGTCATGTTCCCACTGGAAAGTTCTGTTGATGTTGAGGCTAGTATAGTCATGCTGTAGTTTGACTGATACTTTTCAGATCCCAAGCAAAGCTCCCCAAAGCTTTGCAGATGTTTGTCTGGAATGCCCTTTCCTAGTTTGGTGAGATTTTACTAAGTCTTCTGGTGATTAGCCCAAGCCTCATTGCCTTGTGAAGTCCTCTTCAACTCCCCCAGGCAGATCTGTGTGGTACCTTAGCTGCCCTTCTGCAGTTCCTCATCTCCCACCCTTGCTGTGCAGGGAGCATCCCACAGGACTCTACTGAGTCTTGTTGATCTTTGCTTATCTTTGTCTCCCCAGCGCCCAGGAATGACTATACCAAGTGATCATATGTACCAATCACTTTGACTGAATGGGGAGCAGGGCTGATGGATGGATAACACATAAGCATTAACCTACAATTTATTCCCTGCCTCCTTCCAAAAAGGGTTTAAGGGAGTTTCCCATGTCAACATTGATATCCATGCTATGAGTAGTTGAAATAAAGCTAAATGAGGCAACACACTCCATCAGCCATAAAAATCTTAATACCCCCTAGTTTAATAATCCCACCTCCGAAAATTCTCCCTTAGGGACTGATTCAATAGAAAACCAAAAGCAAATAATATTAAAAAATGCATGATGTTTGTTAGATATAATAAAGGGTTATATCTAATCAGGGGAAATGTACACACGAAACACCAAATCCAACTGTGAATTTTATTAAGGAAATAATAGTCCATCAATAGGATGGGATGTGATATAGTCATTAAAAATGATTATGGATATTACATAACAGCATGTAAAATGTTTATGATGTGACATTAAGTTAACAAATCAGATCACCCTACGATTGCAACTGTGTTAAGTATTATACATCCACATCTATATACGTGTGGACAAAGAGTATAAAGAAATAATCAGACATAAAAATTGTTTTAAAATAGGGAATATTTAAAATGTCTTCTAATGTTGTTCTCACACTGCTTTACAAGGAGTTTATTTGGTTAAAAGTAAATAGCGCAGAAACTGTGCTGGGCTCTCTCTGTGATAAATGGGAGTCCCACTTGGTCCAGGGTGTTCCAGAGAACAGATTGGATTTTCCTCCTCAAGTCTACCAAGCCACGTACAAGTCTCTCCTTTATTCTGCACTGGTTCTTCTTCAGTTAACTATACTGAGATTGTCTAAATATCCCGAGGGCAGGTTCTCTCTCTTTTATGCTCCGTTATAGTCCTGATACTTACTGGGTCTGACACAGAGTCCGTACCCAAGAAATAGGTATTGCTTCCTAAGCTATTCAACAAATGAATGACTCTACCACTTAATTATCTCTTGACTTCTTCACCTTCACATCTTCTGCCTTCTTCAGTTCCTTGTAATTTCTCCCTTCAATTCCAACACCAGTTTTTCAACGGGTCCCATTATACCCATCTCAAAATGCTCAAGACTGAACTTTTTCAAGTTTCTTAAATGTGTCCTGTTTCCATTAATACTAGCCTTTCTTGAGCTCTTTTTTTCTGCCCTTCTTCTCCTTATGTATCTGGTAAATTCCTACTCACCTAACAAGACTCAGTTCAAGAACTGCCTCTTGTAAGAAGTCATTCATGATCCATATTCATAGATCCTATCACATTTGATTACAGATGGTTCTCAACTGGGGAGCGATTTCTCTCTACCTCATCCCGGAGATATTAGGCAATGTCTAGAGCTATTTTTTTATTATCATGGCTGGTGGGCTGGGGTAGGGTATATGCTTATTGACATCTAGTGAGGAGAGGCCAGGGATGCTGCTAAACTTCATACAATGCACAGAACAACCCCCTACAACAAAGAATTATCTGTCCCAAAATGTAAATAGCGCTGAGGCTGAGAAAACTCGCTCTACTTTAATTGTCTTTTCACTTAACTGTCCTGTTAAACTGTGACCTCCCTGTGGCCATGACTCTGTCTCTTCAACTTTAGATGTCCAACCTCTCACAAAGGTCCTGCCTGATAAATCATAAGATCTCAAAAACTCTTAGTAGAAAAATGAGTGAATGAATTAAGAAATAAGTAAAAATACTATCTTAAAAGAATATTTTTGAGACAAAAATATTTCCATGATCTTCGTATACCCTTTCACGTTATTAAATCATATGTAATAACTTCCACAAGGATCCTTCATTTTACTTTATTAAATTCACCTCTCAATTGTTTATTTTCCTGGAGGACTTTTGGAACTTTATGCTACAAGTTTAAGCAAATGTTCTTTTACAAATGAAATAATATCTTACTGTTTTAAACCTAAACATCAGTGCTTTATACAAGATTATTCCTTTGCCTGGGATAAATACACTGAATTGGGGAAAAATGTGCAAATTAATCATATGCAGAGAATTTCATCTGTGATGTATGAGTTCCATGGGGTGATTTAAATGTTTCAGGATTTTAGAGACACAGTGTGTTTATACCCTGAATACATTGAAAAAGGGGACAACCTTAGCATAACCAACTACCCAATTACTTGAATAGCAAAGGATGAGAGGAAGGAATTGCTGATGTCAATACTTATACATCAATGTCAAGCAGCAGGGAGAGTAATATTAATTAACCAGGTAAGTGACAGCTCTGTGCTACACACAATTCACACAGCTATTCTTCCAGAGGAGAAACCAGAGGGAGTGATTACCCCAGCCCCTTGTGGCTGATGATTAGGCTCCCATGGCTACACCATCCATTGGCACTAATGTTGACTTTTCCAATATCCAAAGTTCACCCCAACTTCCATATCATTTTTTTTTTTGGTGAGGAAGATTAGCTCAGAGCTAACATCTGTTGCCAATATTCCTCACTTTTTGCTTGAGGGAGATTAGCTCTGAGCTAACATCTGTGCTAATATTCCTGTACTTTGGATGTGGTCCACCACCACAGCGTGGCTGATGAGTAGTGTAGGTCTGCACCTGGGATCCAAACCTGCAAACCTGGGCCGCCGAAACGAAATGCGTCAAACTTAACCTCTATGCCATGGGGTCGGTCCCCCAACTTCCATCTTCTTTTACGACAGAGCCCCCCTACTTTCTCTTTGTTCTATGTCCCATAATATTTCTCACAAACCCAACAATGCTTTTAAATGTGAAAAGTCAGCTTCCTAGAGCACATCTCTCCCTGCTTCCCTTACAGAAAGATTCCTCCCAGGAATCTTCCCCCACCCCAACTGTGCCTCCTCTCCAGCTACTGGCCTCTTTATTGATTCTTCAAATTAATTTTGTATCAGTGTTACAGTCCAATCTTTTCCATCACACCAAGGAGCTTAATATTCATGCTACAAAAACAAGTTGAAAATGAATGCTTGATTAAAACCAAGGTAATCCCATCATCCAATTCAGATTTAATGCTCCACACACTCTGATGATGGAGAGGTGTTGATTTCTCAAGTGGTGAATCAGGGGGGAAAACCATTTTAAATATACTGTAACTGTTTCTTCACTTGAAAGTGAATCCTATCTGGCTCTCTTTCATAAATCCTTTCTGGTCCAGCTGTTTCCAAAAATGTCTTGAGAGGGACGTCCTTCCAGAACACTCTAGGTTTCAATTCCATGTTTGCAAATTGCTAACTGTGTGATTATGACAGGGTCAAATTATTTAATCTGTCTGAGCCCCAATCTCTTCATAATTAAATTGAGGTATCATTGCCCATTGGGATCACACTATCTACTTTATATGATTTCTGTGAAAAATAAATGAATGTTTGTAAGAGGCTCAGGCTTTATCTGGCCAACATTTAGTATTGAGTAAATGTTAGATTAAAAAAAAAGAACAATAAACTCCTCTTGGCAGTGAATTAATTCCGAGGACACATTGTCAGCGACAGTTTAACTGACTATGGGGGAAGATCCATTATCGTTGTTTCTCAGGTTCAATTTTGAGAGAAAATCAAGCAGAGGATTGGTTCAAGTATCACACAGGGTCCAGCAATGTAGTGGACCTTGGATGTTTGAAATAGGAAAAGTTCTGAACAGCTTATATTAGCAGACTCAGCTTGCAGAGCTAAAGGGGGTATGCCATGCACGCTTAGGGCTGCTTCTCCAAAATCTAGATTTATCTAGCTGGCTTTCCTTTCATTGGAAAACTGTGCCAAATCATCTAAGAACTAACTAGCCATCTCAGGCAGGCATCATCAGCCCCTTCTGCCAGCTCCCTGTGCAGTAACGGAAAGGAACACAGCTCTGTTATCTCCCCAGAGCTCAGAGCTCAACTGCAAAGCCAGGTCAGCCCCCACTTGCCCATATTCTCATTTCTTAACCTTCAACTCCCTGTTTTCTGCAGTGTTGCCTTGGCAGAGCAGGCCACACCACTGCTGTATCTGATTCCTCACTCTAACTCACCTTTTTCAGCTTCACCACGCCCTCCTGTGTTTCATAGTCCGTTGTGATTTCAAATAATTCCATACCGTCTCCATCAACAATATTGTATGTGACTAAGCCATTTTCTCCAATGTCTGGGTCTTTAGCCTTCACTCTTCCTACTTCCTCCCCGGGGACAGCTGCTTCTGACACAGACATCTGGTATACGCCTAGAAGAAGAAGACATCTATTTTTATTTTCCTTTTTATTTGGCAGCTGTAAAACTTTAGATTTCATTGAATCCCAATAAATTTCTCAAAGGGTTTGAAATTGAACTTTCCATTGATTGAAAACATGAAAGAAGTGAATGGTTGGCAAGAAGATCCCAGATGGCCTGCTTGTCAAAGAAATGTGTTCTACAAAGGATGATGAAAAATTTTGGGGGTCCTGGGTGATATGGTGGGGTCACCTGCCACAGATGAGAAAGGAAAACAATGCTCAGTTACATTTCCCATCAGGAGATGATGGAGGACCATGTATGTCTTTATACATTCAAACAGCCAAGACTTCTTTTTATGTCTTCGGGATGGTCCACAAGCTAGTTCGGCTCACGTATGGCACTGCCAGGTGCCCGGAAAAGAAAAAATCCCTCTCTGTTTAAAAGCCTTCCACAGCTCCACATTTATTTTAAAATCAAATGCAAATTTTATCTGTCAAGATCATGACCCTGCTAGCTCTATATTTGACACTCCCTTTACTTCACCTTCTTCACCATTCAATCAAGCACTGCCTTATTTAGAAAGGTTTCCCACAGTGTGGTCCTTCCATATATATTCGTTTACTATTTACTGGGAACCTAACACACGTCAGGCACTGTCGTAGCCCCTGGACACCCAGTAGTAAATGAAACCGCCAAGATTCCTCCCTTAATGAGGTGCATTGAAGTGAAAAAAAACAATTGTATACATCCTCTGATGTCATTGCTAGGAAGAAAAAGAGTAAAGTATGGTGAGGGGCAGGCAGAGAGCAATGAGACAGTGAGTGTGTCAGTGTGATGGTGTATGTGTGTGAACGTGAGTGCATGTGAATGTTTACGCTCATGTTAATGTTTATGCTCGTGTTAAATACGTGCGGGTGAGTAGGACACAGAGGGCGAGAGAGATTGATTTTGAATGGTGTGGTCCAAGAAGACATCCCTCAGAAGAAGGCATCTGAACTCACCTGAAGGGAATGAGCAAGTAATCATGTGACTATGTGGGGATAAAAATTACAGACAAAGGGAAGAGCAAATGCCAAAAACCCCAAAGTAGGAACATACTGAATGCAGACACAACAGCAAAAAGACAAGTGTGACTGGAGTCTTCTGTTAAGAGATGAGGGTATGTAGGTAGGTTGGAGCCCAACTGTGTAAAAAGGCCATTGTAGGAGATGCAAAAGACTTCAAGTTTTGTTTAAACTTGGTGGGAAGCCACTGGAAGGTTTTCAGTAGGGAAGTGAGATTTGAGATGACCTTATTTGCATTTTCAGATTTTAAAAATATTCTGTGTAAAACAATATAGAGAAGCAACAGTTGGAAACCTTGCCTCTACCACTTCCAAGCTGAGTGGTCTTGGGTAAGTGACTCAACCTCTAAGTTTTTTTCCCCTTACTTAATTTCTTCAGTTCCACTACTCTGTTCGTATTTATCCATATTATTTGGCTTTGAATACTTTCAGTTCAGACCCATACTCAATCACACTGTGCCTTCCATATTAAAGGACAAGTAGGAGGTGGGAGCCTGTAGATAATTATCAATTTACTTGAAGGTTTAGAAAAACCTGCTATGAACTGATTTTCTCCAAATCTCATTCGAGTTGGTGGCTATGAAACTGTTATCTGCACAGTAGTGACGTAACTTGACTATATGATTGTATGTGAGCAAGGACATTGATGGCTGCCTGCTAATGATCCTGCCTGGCCTTTTCCTTCTAGCATACCAGACAATTTTATAGTGTAGATAATGGAGCATGCACTTTTTCAGAGTGCTTTATGAGGCTTAAGCTTATTGGAAATGCTGAAACTTGTGCCTGACCAGGCAAAGCAATCTTTCTTCATCTCTTTTGGGACCCTATGAGAACTGGTCGTTGCCTTGCAGTCCTCTGTCTCAATGTATCCCTTGTGTAGACTGTTGTCTTTGGATTCCTTTGAGTGACCATAGTACCTTCCTGGGGCCATATTTGATTGCCTTCCTTGTTCCCCCATTTGCAAAAAGTGCCATCTCTCTGGCATAAACTCACAGGCTCTACCAGCTACTCTCCTAATCTAATGAAGAAGACACTTTCATGGTGAACACCCAACGTCCCAGCAGCACCAGCATCATCATGATCATACTGTCCCTTTGTCTATATGCATGCATACATAAACAGATTTGTGTCCAGATTCTGGCTTTTGCCACATGCTTTGGGCAACTTACTGTACCTTTCATGGAACCCAGTTTTATCTGTAAAATGTTGGCTTCTGTAGAGATTTGCAATAGTAGTAACTATTCATTAAAAGATGGTAATTATGTTTATGAATAACAACCTTTCAAAATCAGTTTTTCTTTTATTTCCTGCAGCAATCCTATAAATTTTGTAGAAGGACCATATTCCCTGGATAATAATACTGGCTAACATTTGTTGACAATTTATGCCAGATATCATTATAAGATTTTATACAAGCTCATTTAGTTCTAACAACACCCTATTAATTAGGTCCTGTGGAAGATTATATTTTCTGAAAATGGCCCAAAAAGTATCTCCCATCCCACGTGCTTTCCCTTCAACACGCCTTTAACAGTCCTTCCATTGAAAGGTGGGGTCTACAAGAACTCCACTTCAATTTGGGCAGTCTTACGACTGCAGTGAGAATGATGCTATGTGATTTATGAAGCTAGGACACAATAGGCAATACAGTTTCTGCGTGGTGTCCTTGGGGCTCACTTTCACAACCTACCCAAGCCACTCTATGGAGTGGCCAACATGGAGGGGAACCAACAGCCAATACCAACTCACCAGCTATGTGAGCGAGCCATCTTGGAAGTGGCTCCTCTAGCCCCAGTCAAGCTATCCCCAGTTGATGCTACGGAACAGAGACAAGCTGTCTCTAAGTCTTGCCCAAACTGCAGATTCATGACAAAAATAAACAATTATTATTGTTTTAAACCACAAAGGTTTTGGGCAGTCTGTTACATAGCAATAAATCACTAATTCAGGTACTGTTACATCCAGGTTAGAAATGAGAACACTAAGACAGAGAAAGGTTAATTACTAATTTGTATCACTAGGACCTAGTAAAATACCAAGCAAAATAGATTTTATGTTTCCAGGGTTGTGGAACTTTTCACATCTCCTTTATCTCCCACTACCTCTACTCCACCTAAGTTTTTTTTTGTTGCTGTTGTCTTGTTTTTGTTTTTTGCAAGAGTGATATAGAGAACCTCCGTTTTTCTAGATCTCTTGAAAGCTGAGTAAGGCAGGCATGGGTCAGAGCAGACAGTTGGCTGTGGCACCATTGAAAAGTGAAAGCCAAGCCCACCTACTTACTCTGCGGAAACTTTGGTGGGTTGTCATTGACATCGGTCAGTGTGATCGTCACTTTGGTTGTCCCTGAGAGTCCACCCATATGTCCACCCATGTCCTTGGCCTGGATCACCACATGGTACTCCTCCTTGGCTTCCCTGTCCATGTTGGGAAGGGCTGTTCTGATGATACCTGGACAGGTAAGCAGCACACAACACAGACACTCATTTATAACAACACTGTAACAAAAAAAGTCCTAGGTACAGGGGAAGAAAAGATGAATAAAACAGCCTTCAAGGCACCTGCCCTCATGGAGGAGTCACTTCAACATGATAATTATAAGCAAAAGCAGCCATACCTGAAGCATCATATTAGATGTATTTTCCCACAAATTGTCATAATTATTAATATAGTAGTAAAATTTTGTGTTTTATAGGGTGCATTGTAAATGCAAACAATACCCTCATTATCCTCGAGTATAACACATAGGAGAGGACTGTGGAAGCCTTAAGCCCCTGTTCATCTCTTACCCCACAATGTTTGTGCGTTTCTCAGCAATACCCTTGAACTCACTGAGCCTTGTTTTCCTTATCTGTTAAATAATTTGGTAGGTTCAAATTGGTGACTCCTAACCATGAGTCCCTGAGACAAAGAAGCTTGCAACTGGAGTCCTTCCACTAGTTTTTAACATCTCAAAAATCTAGATGAAACTCCACAATAATCCTTGGTTAATCTGGAAAGGTTAAACGGCAAATGCCTTTGATGAAATCGCAGCAAGTAGCCACAGAAATTGCGTTCCGAAGCAAAGTGACTAAAAATAAACGATTAAACAGGTAAGTAGAAATTATATCCAGTAAATGAGCCAAGTGTCTGATTGGCAGACTATGTGTATACAAATAAACACATGTATGTATAAAGTCATGTGCCGACAATGAGTTTCAGTTAATGAAGGACCACATATACGATAGTGATCCCATATGATTAGTACCACGTAGCCTAGATGTGTAGTAGGCTATCCCAACTAGGTTTTTGGAAGCACACTCTATGATGTTCCCACAATGATGAAATCGCCTGACAATGCATTTCTCAGAATGTATTCCCGTAGTTAAGCAATGCATGACTGTATATACATATTTGATAAATTTTAACTATAATAATAAATGCAGGTTATTGTAAATATCTTTTAAATATATGGGGCACATTGTGGAAAAAAGAAAGGGGTTTTGGGGATAAGATTGTGAACTAGCAGTTTCACAGGATTTTAGTGTTTATTCTAATACAATGATCCTAGAATCAAATTTGGTATAAATGAAGTGAAACATTTTGGTTGTTATATTTTGTCACTCTTTGGTTTGCTATTTGCTTTCTGTAAGAAATTCGCTGGATGGTAATGCCCACTGGGAATGGATAAGTGCAGTGGAGGAGACTGGGAATGTGTTGCTCCCCAAACATACTTGAGCATTAACAGCCACTCTCACCACCCCCAACCCTGCACAGTGAGCTTCCAAGCAAGCTTTGAGACCTTCCAGTTTTTATATCAGCCCTCAAGTTCTATAGTCTCTTAATTTGGATCCACAGTTGAATTTTAAGATAAAATTGAAGTATTTTAAGATAAATTCTTAAATTTAAGTTGAATTTTAAGATAGAATTTTAAGACAAAAGTTGCATTCTCAGATTATATTTATTATTGTGACATGGTGAAATATCGACAGAAACAATAATAAGTATGGTTCATTGAACGCTAACTATATGCCAGGCACATGCATAGTGTCTAATCCTCACAATAATCCTATAACGTGCCCCTTTTCATATTTGAGAAAACTGAGACTCATATAGGTTTAGTGAGCAGGCCTGGACTCCTGATTCACAATGTGTCACAAATCACAATGACATTCCATGGTACCTGTCTGTGCTTCTACTGAAAAGTAGGGTTGTCCTTCCAGGATGCTGTATACTAACTTGGCGCTGTTCCCATAGGTAGGGTCATCTGCATCTGAAGCTGTCACCTGGATTACTGACGTTCCTTAAAAGTAAAATAAATTCATTAGAAACAGTCCCTCAGCTTTTCAAATTATATTCTAGTTTACGAAGTTTCGTCTTAAAATTAAAAACTGAGGAGAGCCCCACAATTATTCAACATGCTTTCATTTTCTCATTTTCCTGGGGTTGAGGTGCAAAATAATCTTCCTTTCTTCCTTCCTTCCTTTTTTTAAAAATTCCCATAGCTTAAAAATGAACTTTCTATATTCATAGTACCTCCTGCTATGCTTAACAGTTAAAATAATAATATGAACATTATTGCAAAAACATTCTAAGACCCATGCAATTGAAATGTTCAGTATATCAAATAATTAAATAAAAATCTTCCCAAAGAGTATAATAAAGGATAATTAATGATAAATTGCTTTTCATGAAAGGACAGAGTGCAGTCTTCCATCTGTAGCAGAGCAATAAATACATCATTTTATTGTTGCTTTGCATGTAATAAAATGGCTGCTAATACTACATTTTAATTAATTTATGGCTATAAATATTGTACAGAATGTTGTTCCCTACCGGCATGTTCCCACCTCTAATGGATCTGGTAGTCAGAGAACAGAAACTACCAGTAGACATCTGGTGAGATATAAGGTGAGCATTTGTGGATCAGAATGAAAGGAAACCAGGGCATTGAAGGAAGATGGGATTCTGTCTTTCCTAGAACAACCTTCTTTCCTTGCTGATCACACGTATCTGAGGGCATGGAGTGTTGGTTGGGCTTCAAAATGGAGGGAGAGGTGCTGGAGGGATGGAATTGGCAATTATCGAACCCTTCTGTGCCAGGCAATGTTTGGGGCACATTCCATGCATTCTGCCAGAGTCCCTCTGCTCAGCATTTTTTACATCCATTGTGAGAAATTGAGTGTGAGAGGTATGAAGTTTTGCAATCTATTTCACAAAGCGGGTTACTGCCAGAGTCAGGAGTCTAACCTCCATCCAGCAAAGAACCAAACCCAAGTTCTTTCTGTGACATTTTCAGCAGACGGGCAAGGTTCTACATGGGAGGCAAGGGAGCCCATTTACACAGCCTCTGATAACCTTTAATTGACAAGGTTGTCAGTGATTTTCATGTGGTGTAAAAGTGAATCTCACTTTTTTCTAATTACTCTTCTGTAATTCATTATTTCCTGCAAACAACTTTTTTTGAGCTCTTCCTATCTAACCAGCCATGATTCTAGGTAGTGGAGATTATAAAGGAGAATAAGCTCTATTCTCTACCATCACGGTACAGCTGGGGAAATTATTAATTTTGTATGCTTGATTTGCTTCTAGGTCTCAACTAAATCTATTACAACACTTTGTATTTTATATCTATGTTATTTAACCTTCATCATAGTGTACATGATCCTCATTTTATAGATGACAAAATGAAAATTGAGAAAAATGTAAGAAGCTGTCTGGGTTTACTTGGTTGGTCAGAGGCTTGGCCATGATTCCAACCCAGTACTGACAACAGACTCTACTCTCATTGGCCATGATAGCAGTCTAGGTGTTATGCCTAAGCATCAGGGAGCCCCCTAAAGGTGGGAGAAATGAAAACTCCCTTGGATCATCCTTTTTGGTGACTGGCCTTTTCCCCCTGGCTCAGTTGCTGACATTACTCTCCCTATTTATGGATTTATTTGATGTCTGCTGTTTCTCATTAAAATCCCCAGGTGAATACTGAGGGACTAAAGGACTGGGAGGGAAAAGAGAAGAGAAGGCAGCGAGAAATGGCTCAGCCTGGCTTTTATAACGTATGAGAAGAGTTTGACTTTTGCCGGAGATGGAGAAAGAGATTATATTTTTTTAGCATCACAGGCTCTACATGCAAAGTTGAAGGAGCTTAGGGTTCTAGGGTCACTTTTGCATCTAACTTTCTTGAGCAGGCTGATTCCCATTCTTGGTTTTCTTATCTGTAAAATGGGTGGCTTGGTCCTGATGATTCGTAAATTCATTTGAACTCTAAATCTCTGAATCATATAACCAGGCTCACTCCTTGATCAGAACAGCCCTCTCACTGTCTAAAAGGCAAGTTTTTCTTAATATGAGGCATGTTTCTCAAAATACCACAACTACATGCATTCTATAAAGCCAAATGAAAGCTATTGCCAGGAGAAGGTGGCTAGTTGAATAAACTCTTCAGAGAATTATCCTTCAACAATCCAATGTGTCTTTATGCATAATGAAAAGATATACCTAGTTCTGAATTATTCTAATAGATGGTGACATAGTGACAGGTGTAAGTTTGCATTCTAGATCCACTTAATAGCTCAGATGACCTTGGATAAATCTTCAAAATATGTCAGATAGGACTTACCTCATTGCAAAGATAAATCATTGCAAAAATTACTTAGCATGATGCCTGCAGACAAATATTACCATTACTATTACTTATTGAACATCAACATGCGGTAATGACTGAATGCATACTATCTATAATCCTGCAAGATTAGAAATTGTTATTCTCATTTTACAGAGGAGGAAACTAAGGCTGAGAGAACAGACTTAACTAGTTCCAAGTCACACAGCTAATAAGTGCCAGAGCCAAGATGATCTGGATTCAATTACGTTCTTCCCATTCCTACACACCTCAAATTTTGTATGTTTAGATTTTAAAACCTCAGGTTCATTTTAAATATTTGAAACTTCAGCTACACAAATGAAAATTTTTTGTTTGGTATTTTGCCAAAGAACGTATAGCATAAGTTCTACTTCCTGATTTGGGAGAGTGGGCACCAGCCCACCCACCCGCAGAGACATCAGGCCTGCAGGCAGAGCGGGCCTTCCCCTCTGTACGCACCCACGTTGGACCTCTCCGGCACGTTGGCGTGATAGGTCTCATGTAAGAACTCAGGAGGGTTGTCATTAATGTCCTGGACCTTGACGATGAATTCTGAGGGAGGCTCCAGCGGCCGGTTGGTGTCTCTGTCCACCGCCTGAGCCATCAGCGTGTACTGGGCTCTCTCCTCTCGGTCCAATGTCTTGGTGGCATGAATGTTCCCTGATTTGTCATCAATCACAAAAATGGTTCCAGCTCCTTCACCTGAGAGAATGTATTTAATGTTCCCATCACCAGAGTCAATATCGGAATGAAGCTAGGAAAAGAGAAATCGAGATTTGTAATTCCATGAGGGATGCAATGGGGAGATAGAGACTCAAGTACATGCTATTTTGTACAATAGATACATACAAACACACACATACACCATGAGACGAGACATTCTCACCCCCTTTTACAAATGAAGAAATAGAATATTACAGAAGATAATTGCCTTGGCTAAGGTCACACAGCTGAGGAGCAGTGAAGCCAGGGTCCAGACATTTTTTTTAAATTCTAAGAATTATGCCCTCTCTCCTCCTGTCCCATTATATGCACACATACAAAATATACATATATATACATAAATAGAGTTATTTTGAAAGAAATACATGCACATTTTATAATATATTTAAATTATATAAAAATATATAATATACTTATAAATAAAATAGAATAAAAAGTAAACATTTATGCAATAAGTAAGTCTTCTCAGTTCTGATTCCCATTCCTTCATTTTCCCTGCTCAGAGACAACCGTTGTTACCACTTTCTTATGAATCTCTGGGACATATTCTACGCATATGCAAGAATATTTATACAGGGTCATAAGTGCTCTAGTTTATTTTTTTGCAACAAAGTGTCATCGTGCACACATCACTCTTCACTCTGTTTCCCTACAACAATACATTCAGGTGAGCCTTCCACGTTGGTACATAGAGATCTACCTCATCCACTGTAGGGATGTTACCATCATTTCCTTCAGCAGTCCTCTTCCAAAGGACACTAAGGTTGTTTCCTGGCTTTTGTTACTACAAATAATTCACTGATTGGATCTTTCCAGAAGACCTGCTGTGTGGCACCCTGGGAATGAGGCTGGGGCATGTGGCCTGCCTGGAAGAAGCTCCCATTCTAATCATAAAGCATGAGGTGAGTGGGATGGGCTGATATATATGTAGCTTAGACCATAGAAAGAACCTTAAATATTCTTAGGTTTTTCCCTTTCTTTGACAAAACCCAGAGAAAAGATGGTAGTTGCCTAAATCCACACTTGGCAAGGCCAGGAAATCATCCAGGTCTCCTAACTAACCATCCTGTGCCTTTCTGTCTTCACTCTACTCCGTGTTTCCTAACATGGAATTCCTCCAAAGACCACATCTGATTTTCCTGTGGCAATAAATCCCTCACCCTCCCTTATGTCCAATCTCAGTTTCTGCAGCTTCCATCTTAATCTGAGTTCCTCTGCCTTCATTATGCCCTTTGTGGGAAAAGATAAGCTTTACTTTCACCATTTTCATAGGCTTTAAGAGTAACCAAGAGGATAAAAAGCCCTTGGTTCTGCCTACTACATAAGAAAAACCAGTATAAATTAAAACGCTTCAGCTTGTTATTATTATACAATAATATTATTAGATAATTATCATTATGTTATTATTTTACACTTACTACTATCAATGCCATTTTAATATTAATATTATTAACGCCATTTTAATTATTATTATTATGAAATCAATGCCCAGGGAACTTGCCCAGAGTCACAAAACAAGGCTGAACACATTGTTCTTTAAAAATTTTTGTATTGTTCCAATTTCCCAAAAAATATGTAATTGATTTGCAGTGCCTCAGTGAAACACTAAACATTTCAGCTCAGGGGGATACCTGTAGGTACAAACTGCAATGGCCATTTTGATTTTAGTCCACAGTGTTTCTCAGAAAAAGAAAAAAAAGCATACTTTCCTTCAGAACTTGTTATTCATAATAAGCTACGTGTTGTCATTAAATTATGGCTAACACACTTTTTATGAATAAGGCAGTTAGCGAATAAAATATGAAGCTATATGATGGCCTTCAAGGAATGAACAGAATTGCCCCTATCTTCACACAAGTTTCCACAGCGAGGGCAGGATCCCTGTCCCCATTCCCCTCACCCCCTAACAATGGTTTGCACTTGTTCATTTTCCCTGCCTCAGACCTGGCAAAATCTAGTGGCTCAGCCTTATGAATGAGCAACAAGGAAGTAAATGAAATGCTTACTTTTAGAGGAGTGCCCAGACAAGGAATGTTTCTAGGGGCCTTCATATATTACATATGAATTTGGCAAGTCTCTGGGGAATTAAACAGATATGTCATGATCAACCAAATAACTAAAAAATTTTAAAAATATACTGCTCATTATTTTTTTCTTGTTTTCACATTTGGAAATTGGATACAAATTCCGTTTTTTTCCTCTCCAACAAAGATGTTCTATACAACTGACAATGATATGTATTGCGTTCCACAAAAAATTCAGTTAGAGAAACCACTTAATGCTATCAATGGATCCTGTTGCTGAGGCATACACAGCCAATTCCTAACTCCAAAGACTGATGGCTTCCCCTCTGCATAGCACAGCGTGACACAGACTGTGCTTCCTGAAAGAATTCCGCAAGTCCACGGTTTGCCAAGTCCCACTTTGTCAGAGCATCTTAAATCACTCAAACTTGAATGTCATCAAATCAAAGGTTATTAGGGAACAAGTCATTGAATCTATTCCCCTATTCATGGGGAACCATAGAGCAGCATTATCTCAAAAGGAAGATCTATAGGATCCAACCACTTTCTTTTTCCCCATCCAACCTGACATCAGACTCATTCTCATGTGTCTAGATTTTAAAGGTCATTTACTACTTCTCTTTTTTCCCCTATGCCCCCTGTTAGTAGGCATGACAACTGCTTGCTCCACAGAGATGCTGAAATGATTCTCCAGGTGCTGTGTCTTCTGCAACCCCTATCCTAACATACAGGCTACTCCCCATTGAGAAAGTCCTCATGGGAGAGGTTCTATTTTCGCAGAACAATTCATGAACAGCTCTCCGCACTGTTCAAACTACACAGCCCCTGCCACAGCTGAAGTCTCATCTCCCTCTCTGGGCACATAGCCCATCTCCTGGATGCAGGGAATTCTGCATGCTAATTATTTCCCTGTGCTCCCATTTCCCAAGGCTCGTTCTATTTTGGGTATAGTCTTTCCATTATGGGTATAAATGAATGAAATTCCTTTGGTATATCTCTTCAGAAAGACACTTTCCCAGCCCTCAACAATATTATTGCTACACTAAAATGGACCCTCTCCAAATATGTCAATTTCATAAATAGGGAATGCTGTTCTCATGTTAAGGAGCAACTAAGATAACTTCATTGGAATCTCTGAGGCTCAGAAAATAGCATCCCTCACAGCTACTCTTGTCCCTTTCCCCCTTCACTGAAAAATTCTGCTCATCTTTCAGGTCACAAGTTATTACCATGTTCTCCATGAAACCTTCCTTCATCCCTCCCAAATGTTACCAGGTAACCATAATGAATTTAACATGTAAATTCATCATGACTTGTATTGAATATCTTCATTACCCTATTCCTCATTTTAACTTTTTTTAATTGCTTAGGTAAGTGTCTCTTTTCCACTAATCTCTGAACTGTTTGAAGTCAAGGACAATTCTACCCTGGTTTACCATTTGCCCAGCTCTGCAACTGTGCATAGTAGGCTTTCCCTCTTATGTATGTGAATACCTATCTCCTTGTAGTTAATGTCACTATCGTCTGAAAGATGGCTGCATGTTTTACCATAAATGATAGCGGGCAGTCAGGTTTTCAAACATATTTTGGACTCTCTTTCTACACTTGCACTATTTTGGAGATGGTACACGGAGAAGGCAGCATTGAGTAGTGCTATGATTCTCAAGCCATCCCAACTGGGTTTTGCCATTCTTAAGCCAAAGCAGACAAAATCCCGCCCATCCTTATGACATATCCATCCATCTCATCCAGTATTTACAAAGGCTTCCCCAAAGCTGGGCTCAGTACCAGGACCTGGGGACACAAGGATGACACTTATCCTGATGGCAAGTAGCTTAGGGTCCAGTGAGGGAGACAGATGAATAAATAGACATGTGTAAGACAAAAAGGAAAGCTATGATAAAAAAGGTACAGAAGGTTATGAGGATACAAAGGAGGAGCATCCATATTGAGGCTAGGGTGTGCTCAGGGAAATGCCCCCCATAGAGAATGGTTAAATAAATAGTCATCATTTCAATTCAGGAGACTATTGTCCAACCATTAAAAAATGGAGGTTTTGTCGTATAACGTTAAGTGGAAAATAGAAGCATTCTTAACATAGTTGTATTAATATATTATGGATAGGTCTATTAATTGGAAAAAAAAAGTTGGAAGGATGTATGAACAATGATTTTATGGTTCTTACTGGATGGCCAGACCATTGGTATTTTCTCTCCCAGATTTCTTTGCCATATCTACTACTGGAATGGTAGAGGGAGATGAGTAGATAGTGAACAACAGCAGCCTTACCCTGCCCACGAGCACGGGGTCAGGCCCGGTGTACTCCTCTATCACAAAGAACTGGTTCCAGACCCAGCCTCTCTTGGAGCGCTGCAGCACCTGCCCCTCCTTGCCCTTCTCGTGGTGCCCATGGAACGAGGGTCGCAGGTGGCTCCGCCGCTCCGTGGTGAAGGCCTGGCTGTGGCACAGCATGCCCAGGCACACCAGGGCGGCTTGTAAACAGTAGTTCTCCTTCATTTTTGGTTACGTGGTAGGCACAGGAGAATGCAGCTGTCACCTCTTCCACCAACTGTATGGTGGCCCGGCCGATGGCGGCCTCCCAGACGTGTCACGCAGACCTCTCTTGGAGTGGAATGTCTCTGCTCGCTGAGCACATCACGTCAGGGCTGCCCACTTCCCCAGTCGGCTTCTGCAGGCAGAGAGAAAGGTCAGATGAGCTGCAGGCTCCAACCCCACTTCATTTCAATTCCATTCTATAAACATTTACCCACACGGGACCATGCGAGCACTTTGCTCTGGGAAGTGAGGAGGGAGACGTGAGTAAGAAATAGTCTTGCTCTCTCGCAGCTTACACGTGGTGGGCAAGATAAACACATACACAAAGAGACTCCTGAAGGTCTGTGAGAGGATAAAACGTGTATGCTGTGGAATCCAGATGCCCATATCTCAGTTTTACCACTGACTAGGTACCTATGGGTTTTGAAGCCAACTGACTTCTCTGAGCATAGCTTGCTCGTTTATGAAATGGGGATGAGACTTGTACCCACTGCATGGTCAACATGGAGATTAAATGAGTAATGCCCCTAAGTTTCTCAGCACAATGCCTGGTACACAGTAAGCACTCTAGATTTATCTGTTATTATTATTGAACATACTTGTGCTTGGGTGTGTTTTTGTAATAGGGGAACTTAAGGCATTATGGAAGTCCAGGAGAGGAACATCTCATTGTTGGGGATTGAGGATGGAGATGGCAGAGAGTAGGGGCAGTTAAGGGACACTTCCTAGAGGACAGGATGGCTAGGCTCAACCCTGAAGTGAGAGGTACTGTGACAAGAAGGGAGTGGATGGGATGTCCATGCAGAAAGAACAGCAGCCTCAAAGCCCAGAGCTGGTCACAAGCACAGCATGTCTCAAGACATCCAGCATCACTGGAGGGTATAATGAAGGAGGAAGGCAGCAATGGACCCCGCTAGAGAAAGAAGGTCCTGGTAGATCCTGAGAAATCACTGGTGGTCACTAAAACATTTAGCAGTGAAATAATGGGTCAAGTTCTCATTGCTGGATCAGTGAAGGCTATAGTGTCAATTTTTGTCTCAAGATTTGCTCTTGTTGGGTCAAAGGTCTACTCAAGAAGCCAAAGATCCTACCTTAATCTGGAAGTCTTACAAAGGATACTTTACAAACTCTCTCCAACCAGGAGAAGCAAAATAAAACAGTATGTGCTACCAACTAGTTCAAAGGTCTTGTTGTTCCTGTATCCACCCATGACTCAGCTACTCATCAATAGTAAGGATGAGCAGCTACCACCTTTCCACACACTTTACAGATTTCTGATCTACAGTCACTCCAGGCCTCTCTCCATCACTCTGGCTTTTCTCTCTAGTCCTTAACTCCTGCCTCAGGTTCTTGCACTTCCTCACTGGACTTAGTCTTTCTGGTGCTAGAAACTTAATTCTCCCCAAAGAGCTTCTGTTGCTGTTTCCCTCTGTTAGCACCTCACACTTTCTTCTGGAAAATCATCCTCTCCCCCTGGAGTGCCACCCAGACTTCAATTGGAGCCCTGGCTCCCAGAATCAGATGATCCTCATTACCACGCCCACCACCAACATGAGGGAATTGCAGAGAATTGTTGGGCATGGAGGATCACACATTAATATCGAGGATGACACTTCATTTCAGCACTGGTGGGTCTAAACGAAATTGGTGAGTGTTCTGAACATTGTAGGAATGAAAACCATCATCCATTTCTTAGCTATCTGGTTTGGATGAAGTGTTGGGGGGAAGAGGGGAATAGGAAGGAGAAAGCATGGATCTTGGCAGGGTGGAATGTACCTAGACTTGGAGATCAGATAGACCTGGATTGGAATACCACTTCTAAATCTTACAATATGGGTGACCTTGGGCACGTCAGTCAGGCACTCTGAGCCTCCATGGCCTCATCTGAACAGCAGGGATGGCAAGAATTGCTGCACGTATAGGGCTGAACGCAGAGTGGGCAGTAGGCACACACTGGCTCTCTCCCTCTCGTCCTACACTGCCACAATCCAAGCCTGCAGAATCTCACTCAGCAGAAGGAGGTGCTCTTGCCTTGCAGATGGAGATGCCCAGAAGAGAGTGGTGAAGCGCTTTCTCTACGAGAGGAACTGAGGAATAAGAGTTACCTGGGGATACCGTAGCCATCTGGCCTTAGTAGTCTAGAAAATAAGGGAATTGGTGGAATTCTAATTTGTTGGTACAGAACCCCTTCATTTCTGATGGTCTTTCACTTTACTAACCCAAGCCTTTCTGCTTCCTTTGTAATGTGGCACAATGGTATCTGGGGAGGCCACAGACGTGCAGTTAATTTCCGGTGTCCATCACTGCCCCAATACCACTCTATGATGTATTCTGTTAGTCTCTTTTCAAGGCATGAGGAGTTTAATACTTGCTGTAGACAGATACGTCGGGATATGGAAAGGGCTGTGTGGAAGAGAGAGGAAGATTAAAAAGGCAGCGTCATCATTTAACAGCTTCACCCTCAGGCTCGGGCATATTAATAATACATCAAATGCTGTTTCTTGCAAGCCAAACTGATTGTGAGGAAGGAGCACAGAGAGGAACCCAGGAGGGTTAGATCCTAAAATGAGGCATTGTGAAGCAAGAGGAGGATCCTGGGGCTTAAGTTAGGAAGCTGAGGATAGGGTCGAGAATCTGCCGTTAGCTTAGCGTGGCACCACATCAGTTTCCCTCTCGGTGGCTCTGCCTCCTTCTCTGTAATATAAAGCCACAGGGTGACATTGTCTACAAGTGACTTCTAGCTTCATATTCATGGTTGGAGGTATGGTGAGAGATGGTGGGGTATTTCTTCTGATTCATACACCATCTCCTGACTAGACTGGATGCCTCTTAATGGTTGGGATTAGATCTTATTCAAAATTATATGTCCAGTGGCTGGGCTCTTCAAAGCAGGCCATCAATAAAAGTCAAATGTCTGATTTGACCCACATACTTCACATTCAAACTTGACGTTGCCACCACGGAATCTCAAGAAGAAGAAATAACAAGGAAAGAGCATATGGTGCAACAAGATCCCTGCCCATTCTACACCATGCCAAGTATTAAGTGTTCATTCATACAGTGATAAATTATTCTTGCATATAAACTGTGAAGTGTATTTGAAAGAAAGAGTTTAATTAAAGTTGATATTTCTACACCTCTTTCTTCTGGCTGCCATTTTGCTGTAAAGCACAATTATTTTTGACACCAGAAGTGTTGAAACTAGATGACAACTATTTTTTTCCTTTATAAAAAAAATACTAGCTTGATACTAATGAATTTAAGAATTTCCACATGACCAATAAACAATAAACCCTTTGTTGAAAAGATGAAATTATCTATTTTCTTCTGTTGGAAAGAATAACAAAACAACTTGCTTTTAAAAGTAATTCATTGGACCCATTATTGTAAGTGCATATATGATTATGTAATATATAAATTTATTTTCATGATTAATCTCAGGTATGCTAAGATGAATTTAAAGACATGATTTTTTTTATTAATTCAACTTCAGAATGAAAATTTACTTAGCAAAAGCTTTTTCTAGCCATTTTTATAAAACTTTACAAATAGTAACCCATCTATTAAGTTCTATAACAAACATATGAATAGGTTCTATGAATATTCTTATTTTAAAGGATGGGGAAACTGAGGCCCATATAAATTAAGCAACTTGTACAAGGTTATGCTGTTGATAAATAGCAGAGCTGGAATTTGAACTCATGACATCTGGCTCCCAAGTCTATATTCTTAACCAGTGAACAATACCAACTCTTGTCATGTGTATGTGTCTGAAGTTCATAAAGAAATGATATGGACACTGTGATAAAAACAGTAACCTAGAAGCCACCTAAAGTAAACCACTATTAGAACTTGGTGTATATTAATAATATCACTATGATGAAAATATTAATAATAGCTAACATTTGTCCAGTGTTATTACCTGCCTAACTCTCTTCTAAGTGCTTTCAATGAGTTGAGTCATAAATTTTCACAATAACCCTACAAAGTAGTAGTATTGTTATTCCCATTTTACAGGTGAGTAGTCTGAGGCACAGCAAGATTAAATAACCTGCCCATGGTTACAGAGCCAGCAAGTGGAGGAGCTGGGATATGAACTTTGGATGTTTGGTTCCAAGATCTGCATTGGTGTCCCCTATAACCCGATGCCCCTCTATGTGAAGGCTGAAGATCAAATAGAGACACACGTCCCGATATACACACAGTAGTTTTATGGTGATAATAATTTAAGTTTTGGTGGCAGTGGGCGGGGCGGGGGAGTAATATTGTGACTAAAATATTAAAACTAAACCAGAAAGAGGAAGGTAAGGTATTTTGTAGCAACGACCAAAGTGAAGACGAACAAGAGGTAATTACATCAGTCCATCAACAACACAGTCCAACCAGGTCCTTAAACATTAAACAGCACACTACACAAAAGTTAACTTTTGCTTTTTATTTTTAAAACCCATTTCAAAACTTCTACAGGTATAGGTTAAGAAAGACGTGTTTGGGGAGATTCTTTTTTTTTTTAAATGCTTCTAAAATTTAGAGATCTGGCTGATGTATTCAATGGTAGAGAGTTTGCAGGAATCACACATGAAAATTAATAGGCGACCACCTTCCAAAGAAGACCTTGACATTGGTAATAATTAGGGAAATATGGAAATATATCAATGCTCTAATTGGTTTTAATAAAGACCTCCAAGGTAGTTCTTCAACAATCCTTCTATGAAAGTACTTTCTAGTAATATACCAGGAGGTCTAAGCATTAGGGTTCCACTAAAACATACAGGAAGACTTTATTTTATGATGGGAGCATATTGCTTGGAAGGAAAAATAAATGTTGTTGAAAGTCACAGGAGTAATAACATGACAGGAAAATGGATTTGCAAAACCACCAGCTCTAAGTGGAAGGCTCCCCCCTCTATCTCAAGAGCAGATAGCCCATCATAAGCTACTGCGCCTTGAGCATAAAACTCTCTCGCTGTGCCTGCTTTTGTCTCTGTAAAAGAAAATGACATATACGGGTGTTTAAGTATATTTGGACTCCTGCTGGAAATTGTTATCGGGTAGAGAAAGGAAGACGAAAGCGCTTAGCAGAAAGCAAGTGGCTTTGGTTTTTCAGCTTTCTCCTCCCCACAGAGCTGGAAG